CTTTGGGACTGACCTGCCGACCTTTGGGACTGACCTGCCGGGCTTTGGGACTGACCTGCCCATCTTTGGGACTGCCCTGCCGGGCTTTGGGACTGCCCTGCCGGGCTTTGGGACTGACCTGCCCATCTTTGGGACTGCCCTGCCGGGCTTTGGGACTGCCCTGCCGGTCTTTGGGACTGACCTGCCCATCTTTGGGACTGACCTGCCCATCTTTGGGACTGACCTGCCAGGCTTTGGGACTGACCTGCCCATCTTTGGGACTGCCCTGCCCATCTTTGGGACTGACCTGACGACCACACAAACCCACCTGGTGCCCAGCGTGATGCTTTAAATACCAGTTCAAACTGGGTGGAGAGGGAAATGGGGCTGCAGCCCTGCTGGGCTGGGCACACTCCCCGTGCTCAGAGCTGCGACGGAATCACTGCCAAACGGAGACAAAACAGCAGCAGCAGCTCTAAGCAGGTGTTTGAGGAACAGTATAAGCATATTGGGCCTTTCCCAGTGTTCTTCCAGCATGCAGCTCTCTCATAAACATGGACACAAATGCTTCACATTATCTGTAAAAAGTGGGAATCCCCATATCAGCCAACAAAATAGTAATTACTGATCTAGGAATTAATTTGACAGTCGAGTAACACATTCATGGTTTTATCATTACAGGAGAAAACTACGAGCTGATGTTGCAGCAGCTTTTCCTGCCCTTAGTGCTGAACAATTGACTGAGTTTATTCCAAACAAGGAAGAGCTTAATGTCATCAAAATATACTCTCACAAAGGGGAGGCTGTCACTGTTTACATGAATAACAGGAACCCAATACTGTTTGAAATTGAGAAAGCTCTGTATCCAACAGGTATGGGGACTGGAATAATCCTTGTGTCTGCCTTAAGTACTTATCCCCTCAGTATATTGGTACATGTAATCATATTCTACCAACATCTTTGCAAAATCAGTGGATTCTAGATTTTTGCTGCAAAAAGGGAAGTGAGGTGTTCAGAAGTGAAAACCCAGGAAACAAGTCTTTTAAGTCCTAATTTAATATCTTGGCCCCTTTTGTCTCTTTTGGCCACTGCAAGATGTAATGCCTAGAAGTGTGATGTCCGCTTCCAGGCAGCCCTGGAATTAGTCAATGAATTGCTGAGATATCCTGTGCTTTTCTTTTTCCCTCCCCGAGCAGTTCTCCCCTGTTGGAGCAGTATTTTAGCTCAGAGTGTCCTTGATGTAAGGAAAATTATGCAAACATTTATTAATATCCTTTATAAGAACACACAGATGGTGGAATTAACCAGCAGCTTATTTTTCTCCACCGCATCTAACAAAGGATTATTCTGACTTCAGATTTCCTGATTACCCAAGTACCAGGAGAGTGTTTAGCTGTGCTTAGTATTGTGCTGCTTAGTCTTAAAGATGGGTAGAAGCAACAGCTGGAGGAGTTTTTAATGATGCATCTTTAAATTTGGTTCTGTTTTGGGACAGTGTACACCCTGTGGGTCTACCCTGATCTTCTCCCTGCATTTTCAACATGGCCCCCAGTGCTCCAGAAACTGGCAGGAGGAGCAGGTAAGAGAACTAGGACCTGGTCATATTGCATTGCATAAAGGAGTTGCCTGCAGGGCTTTTTTGATCTTCTCTTTCCCAGTGGTAAAAAAGGTACCTGAAACAAAAAAAGGCATAAAGACTTAAGTACCCACAAAGTAGTTCATGGCGACTTCCAAAACAGGAAAATAAATTAGCTGTAAAAAAGTTTATGACCAAAACAAAGTAGGTTAAGCTGTTTAAATGCAGGAACCTCTTCTGTATGGGAGTGTCAGATTTTTCAGTGATCAGCAACTCTGAAGTGAGACACAAAACTGCCTGGGTCATTGCTCTCTCTTGTAACTTCCCTTGAGCAGCTGAGTTCTTTGCTGCCATCCTGCCTCCTGTCAAGTCAGAGGTGAACGAGCTTATCCTATGGGTAAGAAGTGAGTTTGTATTGGAACCTACAGTTTTAATCACTGTCAAGTAAATTGTGGATGGTACAGGTGAGGTTGGATTTGAATCCTGGGTTACTGGGTCTGCTGCCTACTTACAGATCAAGACTAACAAGAATGGAGTCTGTTTTCTGGAACCTGCTTTGGATACAGTTCAGACTCAGGAGAATCAGGTCCTTTTAAATTGCAGAACTGCTCAACCAGAAAAAGATTAAATTGCAGCCACTTCAGCCTTGGTCTGTAAATAAGTGTAGGTGTGGGAAGAGTCTCTTTTCCATTGCACAGTATCTAAAGTAGAACTAAAGTCCCTCTGTTTACTTTGTTTGCTTTTGGGAAAATAAGAGTGCTTGGATGTGTATCTGTGATAGACATCTGAGCAAGCCTTGCTGTTGGAGTGACCTAGATTCTGAGGAAGAAAGGTCTTGCTAATAGGGGAAGAACATTGATGAAAGAGGACTGCAGGTCATTCATCTCCCATGGTAACCAGGCTACCTCTGGGAAGGATCCAAAGATAAGGAGCTGGCCACCAGACAATGGCCAACAAAGGCAGAGGGAGAGCCACATCTCAGAAGAGGAAAGGCATGAGACTGTCTAGTGCTGCAGAGGGAGGGAGGGAGCAGATTTAGGGAGTGTTCAAAGAAGGGAAGCAAGGCAGTGCTATTTGTGGTATCTGTGCCATGAATTCCAATACCTACTGTCATTTACAGAATATACCTGTGCTGCTTACCTGGTCACCTCGAGGTCTTGATGTGATTTCTGACCTCAGAGATGTGGAGC